ATTCTTATTAAACGATACACGCTGTCCACTTGCTAAACTACAACTGAATGACTGAATTGATACAGGCACCACCAGGCACGTTCGAAAGGTACTGTGAGGTGCAGATTAAAATAAAAATTAGCAGCGCTTAAACCGCGAAAATTTGAACAGTTTACCGTGCCTTTTACTACAGCGAAAGGTTTTCTGTGAATTCTATTAATCGTTTAGAGGTGTAAGTTGGTTAAATGTACTGTAGGTTATTTTTTGTGAGAATATAGGAAGATGTGTACCATTACAATTTAGAAAGAATTTGTAATTTTGTTGTCGACTTCAAAATGCTTCAAACATCGGCATACTTTATTACTGTCCTCATAGTTAATAAAAAATAAACGAATTAATGGAATAAAGTATATAAAAAACTTACAATTGGGGTAAATAATAAACTTAATTATTAAAACTAAATAATTTTAAAATACCTAATGTTTAATACTTACTACAGGTCCAATACAATATATTGAATGTCTCAATATAAATCTCCGACACTTAAATTTATCGAAATGCTTTAAAATATAGGGGACATGAAGGAACGTACAAACAAATATCATTGCCCAAATAAGTTTCCGAAATATTTGCGAATTATCCAGTTTTTTAAAAGGCAGAAGATCTTCAATAAATTTCAGTGGATCGTTATCTAAAATAATATCTAAAGAAATATTGTTATATATTCTTAAACAGGTTCAAAATTACGTACAAAGCGAAGAGGCATAAATGTAATAATGGAGTAAATGTGTTAACTTATGCGTTATTTGTCATATTAACAGGTAGCTATTTTTATCTTAAAGGGTTGAGTTTTTTTTTTGGTTTTTTTTTGTGCAAGCGTGATGTAGACAAACGCAAAAAGATAACCTAGAATTAAACTAAAGTATGTCGATACAGAAATATTTGATATGAATATATTCAAATAATGGATGGCGTTAAATCCTTTGTCAACATGGTACTAAAAAGCCAACATATTTGACATCAATAATTATTTTTACTAATAATGATTTTTCGATTCTCTAATACGATTGACTGTTTTCTAAATTCAATAGGAAAAATATTGGAGAAGTGCTAATTTGTTAATTAAAATTAATTTTTTAATATACTAGATATTATTTTCTTCATTAAATAAAAAATGTACAAACCTTCTGTAATAGACTCTATTTGTTCAATATTTGGAAAAGTTCCACTGCGACAATTTTTCATTGTGAATTCACGTTTAACCGTAAAACATAAGTGCAATTCTTTTATACTCTTGGATTTGTTTTCCTAACAATTAAACTGTAATTTATAACGCATTAACAACCCTAACATTAAAAACCAAAAAACATTTTAAAACTTTCTTTAAAATTCCTAGTAGATATTGTAAATATGTACTACCTAGATTATTGCATTGTAAATAATAACTTATAGATAATTTACTAATAACAACTAAAATAAAAAGGGATAAGGTTGTAGTTGATTGTATCTATTATGTGGCCATCAAGAGGAAATTAAAAACTAGTATTTTTTCGTAATACAAATGATTGTAAGAAGATATTTGGAGTGTATACTGATTTCTTCAATAAGGTGTCTGCTATACTATCTGCTCTCTCTGCTCTCAATTCTTCATCATCTTACTCTGCTAACACAGTATCTTTCAACATTTTTTTGACCCTTTGTGATATTAATTATCTAATCTTAAATAAATATTCTAAGTATCCCGCCTATGAGGGATACTTAGAATACTTAGTAATATGGGGAATACTCCAGCTGACCATTGTCTTCACCCGACATTTCTTAACATACACATTATATGTCACGCATCCTACAGACAAACTGCGTAACTTGTGCATCTATTAACTCACACACTAATAAATGTTTCCCTCCTCACGCCAATTTATTTTAACAGACTTTACTGACTTTACCGCCACTTACTGACTATCGATTTCGGGCGAATGAATCGGTAAGTGGTAGTTCACCCTTTTGTCCTGGGACTGAAAAATCGGCTCTTAAGGCGGATGAACCAAAGATTTGGTCAACGGCATAAGGATACGGAACACAAGGAGAAACCACTGCATTTGTAGTGGAAAGTTAAATTATTAGTATGCCATTTCTAGGAACATACAGTGACATATTTTTGCCCTTGTGTTTTCACTTACATGAGAGTTTTCAACATTTAGTTTATAAATGACAAGATACGTATATGATTAATTCATTATTTCTTTATTATTTAGAACAACATATTACAACCATCTTGTCTTGCTTACAATTATTATTATTCGTTGACTTTGACGTAAGTCATAAGTACATTGTAACCAACCTACATATTGTACCAACCTATACTTAACCTTCTACCACTGACGTGTACTTTCTGGAACATAACTATGGATGTGTAATTGTATCCTACTGATGTTCATTCTGAATTCTCTTAGAAGTCTTTGATTGATAACTCTTCCATTCAAATGTCGTTCAACGAGTTGTTTGGCGAGCAGCTCCACAAATTCTGCCCGTAGTATGTTATTTGCTTCTGGATAGCTTTGGTGTAACATATATGAATTAACTCCTGTGATGCCGATGATGGAATAAAATACCGTCATAGGCCAACACCTAGTACGTCTACTTGAACTATAAATTGAACATTTTTTATACAGGGCATCTATGCCCCCTTTGTTTTCATTATAAAAACAATCATTTCAGGTTTGCCATTTAGAAAATCCGTGTATTTTTGTTGATGCATCGTAGAAACTAGAAGTACAGCATTGCTTTTCTTTGGAACATGACACAATTGTAATATGCTTTACACGCCCTCTAAAACCTATGAGCATCTCATCAATACAGGTGTAATGGCCCACACAGAACTGTTTCTGACAATTATATATAAATTTATTAAAAATATCTGATATTGCTGCAGCAGGATCAGTTTCTTTTCTTTCCGCTTGGTCTTCGGGGTTGTCAAAACGTAGACAGCTTAAAATCATTAGCATTCTTTCCCCAGATATCACACAACACCAAACACTGAATGTTCTCGTTGTTTGATTTGAAAACAGAGCTGTAGTATGATATGCCTAAAAAGGCTTTACTACTACTACTATCGGTTTACAGCTTCTCCGACGCCTTCCGACTCATAACCGCCATTCTTCTTTATTTAACCATTGGCCTGGAGGGATTTCTCTTTCTTCTAGTTCTTTTTCAATTCCCTTTCTCCAGCTTCTTCTCGCTCTTTTCCTTCTACCTTGTGGTGTCCACGTCAAAATCTGTTTCGGAATCCTGTCATCTGGCATTCTCTGTACATGGCCGTACCATATTAACTGTTTTGCTTTTAGGTCATCATCTAAAAAGGCTTTAAGTTCTATAAAATCAAGGTCTTCCAGTTTTGGTTTCTTAAGCCGCTTATAATTTCTTCTTAACTCAAATAATTTCGATTAGGATGTATAAGAATTTCAGCTAGAATGTCATTATCGATTAGATACCTCCATATTTGTAAAGGCGCTGGACTTTTGCCCAACTGTTTGGCTTCACCACGAAGTCCTGGTAAATAAGAAAGTAAGTTATGTTTCTCTGTTCTCGTTCTCTGTACAAAAGGGTTGTGATGACCACTTAAATCTATTTTTACTGTAATAACTCATTCCATTTTCAACTTCTTCACCACTTTCAGAATCGTAGTTGTCAGACAAGTCACCACTAGCTCCCTCACTATCATCTTCTACTACCGAAGCTGTACCATGCTCACTTTCAATGTTATTTAAAGAGCCTCCTAGCTCTTCCATATCGCTAACCTCACTTTCTACCTCGTCATGCCATGCTAACAGAGTTTCTTCATAGTTTTTATCACCGTAATGTACTGTTTTGGATTAACCTGCCATTTTCGTAAATTTTTCATAAACACTGACGTGGTGCCAAAATGACCCATTTTAAACTTTAGATAGTTATAAACTAAATACCACACTACTGAAAAACTTATCAATAAGTGAAGCGATCGACGTCACTGTAACTTGAAGGTAGCTGCGAGTCACAAACCTATAAAAACAAAAATAAAAAATTGCGCGTAATTTGAATTTAGTCGGGGATCATGTGGGCAGCACGTCCGTAGTAGAAGGTTAACAGAGAGCTCTGTGCTTATATCTGCTAATAAAAAAGCATGAAGAATCTTGAACCTGATTTTAAAAGCCATCCCAGCATCACAACCTCATATTAAAAAAAAAAAACACTTTTATCTTAGCAATAATTTTATTTCATTTTACATTAAGTGTTGGGTATACAAAATAAACATGACAATAATAAAAATAATATCTAATGATGATGAGTTGGCACGTTCAATAAATATATTATAAATATACTCTAATTTGTGTGTGTCTTCTAGGTATAAATAAATACTGAATAAAATTATATGAAACGTAAAAGTTCCTATCATTTAAGGCGTTTTTTAAGATTGTGACAATAAAATAAATAGTACCTAATGAATAATAAAGACATACTGTAAAAACACTTAAGTATTTACTGATATAAAACATAATGGAGAGTTAAATAAAAGGAAATATGAATCAATGACAAAGGATAGTTTTTTTTTATTAAAAAACTTAGGAAACTGGCATCAATTTTCAGCTAAGTTCATACCAGGAAACAAGCTCAAATATATTTAGAGTAGATTCAAATCTCCAAAACCACTTTTAATTTGATTAAATTTATTATTTATGGCGGAATTAATAAAGGATTCCTTAAAATTAGAAAAACAACAGATAATATGTATCGAATTATAAGAAACCTGTGGTTACTAATAAACTAGCAAAGCAAATAGCATCAACTTCAGCAAGACTTGGATAAATTAAACAACGACTATACTGGTAGCCTGAAGATTTTCCGAAATAAGCCTACTAAATAATTGAATTAATCTACAGAAGTTTTTGAAACATGCGATATAAAAAAATTTAAAAACGGCCTTTAAGTTAAATTTTGCGATTTGATATTTTTTAACAAAATAAAAAAAACAGGAAAATATATATTTAAGCTGTCACATAGGCTACTGATCCTGAACGTCGTCGATCAGATACAGCTACGGTTTGTCCTGTTGTGGAGTTCTTACTAATGGCTGTTACTGCTGCAAAGCCAAAATCATCTTTGAAGTCATGTTCATGACCAATTTTTTTCAGTCCATTAACGATATCAATTCCCTGAAAAATAAATATTTGTTAATATTCGTTTAAACTCATTGTCATTGAGCTAAACTAAATTTAAATCGGAATGTAACGAGTCTGTCACTTCAATAATTCTTTAACAACTTTTAAATAAAATTTTTAAATCTATATTCCATTAATATTTCTTAATTTTTAATCTCTAAGTTGTTATTAAACAGCGATTGCAAACGGCAATTTTGGCAGACATGCTTATCCGACTAGCAATTAGCATTCACTCTTGTTGTGACTCCGGAGGAGGAAAGTTGGGTTTAAAAAGTAGGTGTCCAGGGATAGCTTAGAAGTTTTTTGGGGAAGAAGAAGGTGCAGAAAGTTTTGGGTTTTTGTGGAGTTTGGTCTCCGTTCGACTCGCGGAGATAAGAATACGGTCGAGGTCAGAAGACCCTGCCTGTCGTAAGAGGCGACTAATGGGCAAGAAATGAGAGGTGGAGAGCCGTCGTGTCGGGTTTGTGGAAACGCACTCGAGATGCATAGCCATCGCGGTCACCGGTCCACATTCCTAGTATCCGAGACAAGCATCTCGTGGGACCACTCTACTGTCATTTCCACAAGAGCCAGGTGAGGTTGAACGAGCTGGGACCGTAAATACCTCCCAAGGCCTTACACCACCGAGGGTGGTGTGGTGACCCGGCACGTACCCACCTGGAATGATTTACGAGTGGTAGAGGAGCGATTCCTCGGCGGTGACCTGTCTTCTTGCGAGGTGGAATTCCTCCGCCTGCGACGCCTTTCCGCCCCGGGGGCGGGGGGTAGTTCCGGACGGGTGACGTATCCGCAACACAGGTACTACGGGTAAAGTGGAGCCCTACGATACTTCGGTATCGTGCCACCTTAGTAGGTGTCGGACTCGTAGAGCAGTGGGGCCGCTAAAGGTCGTATGCCGAAAGGCCAGGAAGATCAGGGTCCTGCCAATTTATATTGGATGGCACAAAGCTATGCAATGTCCCATTTGGTTTGTAGCTACTCTGAGCCGGTAAGTGGATCCAATTATCAATAAAAAGTATAAAAATCATCAGCCATTTTGATTTCTAAAATATTGTCAATTTTCCTTTGATATTTAATATATGTATCTGTCATTTTTCACCTCATTTCATTAGAAATATTCTAGATAGAAATATAGTAATAAAATAAAATCATATGTAAATTTTTTATTTTACTTTCTGGCCTTAAAAAGATATAATTATCTATCTTTAAAACGATCTGTTCAATCACAAATTAACCCCTTAATTTGCAATCTCACATTATTCATAACTTCTTAATCTTTTATAGTTTCACCGTGTATAAGTGACATTGTAAAACCATATCGTATAATATTTTAATAATTAGTTCATTTACCTATAACTAAATAAATTGCCGATTCTAATTGAACTTCCTAAGTGTCGCAATTAAGGCGTAGATTAAATTGTACTGTAAGCAAAGTTTGTTGGTATGGTATGATAGAAAGCAATGACCTATGTGCTTAGGTCTGAATTATTTGTGAGATTATAAATTGGGGATTTGAGCTCATATGAACACAGTCAATCATAAGTAGTTACCTAACGAACATCATATTGTGTAATAACCAATAGCTGTCAATAAATCAACACTTTACTCCACAACTTCAACCTTTCAGCCTGTACATTGTGTATATGCAAATTGTGTAAATGCTCAAATAAATCATGAACCAATTGTAAAAGAAGTATTCTTCGAAAGGAGCAACGAAGTAATTAAAGAGATCGACACAATGCGAGAAGTGATAGTTCTTGACAACTATGATAGTAGAACTGGACACCAATATAATAGTCAGATTATAGGTCCCCTATAATAGAAAGATAACTCCAATAATCATGTAATTGATGTATGTCAAAACAACAGACCAAAATTGCTAATGGTTTATTTAAAAACAAAGATAAACAGAAATTCACATGGATATAACTAACTTATTCTAAAATCAATAATCAACTACGTTATTTTAGAACAAGTTTAAAAGCTAAAGGTGGATGATGTCAAAGTCATCAGGGAAACAAACTTATTTTCATCACTTAATAGTTAAAAGTAAATTATATTCCCCTAAAATATAAAGACGTTTAAGACTTATTCCCGTTCTCCTCCGCCAATCCTCCCGGTCCAAGGCATCCTTCTCCTCCAAACCTCTGGATTCCATCTTTCGTTTAAGATTTAATTTCAAGAGTACAAATTTTTTTTTTTTTGGTAATTTGTATAATAACACATCATCATCATCATCATCTTGGTGCTACAGCCCTTAGAGGGCCTCGACCTTCTCAAGCTTTCTACGCCATTCTGTTCTGTCCCTTGCTTGAATTTTCCAGTTGCCGAATCCGATCTTCTCCGCATCTTGTGTTACCCCATCCATCCACCTCAGCTTTGGTCTACCCCGTCGTCTCATTCCCACAGGTTGCGCTGTTAGAATCTTTTTTATCATGTTCGATTCAGGGGCCCGGGCTACATGTCCTGCCCACTGCAGGCGGTTTCGCTTAATTATAGTGGTAATATCTTTACCACCAAACGTATGCTTGTAGATATTCTGCAGTTCGAAGTTATATCTACGCCTCCATATTCCGTTCTCACAGACCGCTCCAAATATATTGCGTAGCACCTTTCTTTCAAACATGGATAGAGCGGATTCATCTGTTTTCGTTAGTGTCCATGCCTCTGATCCGTATGTAAGAACGGGGACTATCAGTGTTCTATACAGCCTTATACGAGTTTTTTGAGACAGACGTTTGTTAGCTAAGTACTTTGATAGACCATAATAACACCTGTTTGCAATTATTGTATATAATAACACATATAGACTAATTATTTGGATTAAAGGCCTTTTTTAAAGCCTTATATAAATGGTTGTTTTGTAACATAAAAATGGGTATTAAATGAGCATTAAATTAATCTATGTAATTTTTAATCTAAAGAAAATTGCAAAAGAATATTTAGCGAAAACGTTTTGATTACTGTTGGAATTAATTGACGCAAATGTTAAAATCAATTTTAAAGAGAATTAGATATTATTCGTCATTAAACTTGCGTTTGTTACTAATTTTTTTAATTACCTTTAGAAGCAATAATTTACCTTTGTTTTATATCCTTCTTCATAAATAACTTTCATCGGGAATAACTGATGATGTAATCTCATTTCATTTACGGCAGTAGACAAATCTTTTCCGAACCATAAATGTTTTATAATCGTCTGTAAAAGAAAATTTACTGTCAGAATTATTGGATCCCTATATAGTAGGTACACAATTCAGCCTGATAGAGGTACCTACATGTGTTTTATAATGCGGATAGAGTTAGCGTTCGTTCAATTGTCAATGATTTACTGTTGTCTGAGGAACGTAAAAATCAGTTTCGACAAAAGACAGAGGCCGACCCCTAACTACAAGTTGTTTTTGACATTAGTAGCAGGCCAGAACAAAAATATAAAATTATAGAAAATATCAGACACTTTGCCAAACTAAAAGAGAATCTATTTATAACTAATAACTTTCTTTTTCTAGACAATAAATTAGTTACCCCTTTTATATTACGAAAAAGCAGTTCTAGGATTACTTCATGAGGGACATTTAGGAATAGGAAAAACAAAAGCACTATCACGCCAAATTTATTATTGGCCTCGAATGGCTATGGATATTGAATCATATATAAGGGCATGTAAGATAAAAGTCCAAATCACATTGAAAAAGTTTCAATTTCAGTTGAATTGCTGCACACATATGTTTGCGTAAAAATGTTGAAAATGAAAATGAAAGCTAAAAAAGGATTAAATGACACACCTTTTAATTAAAATGCAACGATAAATATTAAAGCCGTTGAACAAATACATGGATGTAACAGTCCTTGATCACTGTAGTAAGACCTGGAAGTCTGCAAAAATTTTAAATCAACATGAATTAACCAGATCATACATTTTCCAAGATTGCACTATCAGAAGGAACAGATATCATATAAGATCATCAGCAAATATACATGTTGTAGACTGTGGTACTGATCAGATTAAGAGTAACCACCATCAGTTGGGTGGTGATGCTAGTTTAGGTCCATGAATTGCCCACAACAATGGTATAGAAAGTAGGGAACATCAAACAACAAAAGTGTTAATCCCTGATAATCATATACCTGAAATGTCAAATCTTACTAATACTTACTGTACAAGGTCAGGAAGACAAAAGTTTAACTCAAAAAGGAAAAGAAAAGAAGATGTATGATACATACTCATAGTTAAGTGAAGGGACTAACCCTAAACATATATGTATGCTTCATTCATATTCTGTATGTTGGTAACAAGATAAGATGACAGACAGGTGACAAGAATACACTACAGGTAGGTTAGACAGGTTAGGTTAACATGTGTGTAATGTCTGAACGCCCGGCATTGTTACAAATATACTTGTGCAATCCACTGTTATATTCTTCAGGCTTATACAAACACAACCTAAATCTTGGTTATAGTGAGAACAAACCGAAAACTCGACGCAGACTAATTAAGAAACTACTTAGGTGGTAAATTTATTTTTGTAACAACATTAATATTAAAAGTTGTATTTGAATTAATCAACAAAATGTAATAAAATATACAACTTACAAGAGCATTCGCTGTCGTTATTTTGCTACCACCTGCTCCGCCTATTACCATAATTACATTTTTCTTTTCATCTAAAACGATGACAGGAACCATTGATGACATCGGTCGTTTGCCGGGTTTAATAAAGTTCGCTGCTGCAGGAGGTAGACCAAAACCATTGACAGAGTTCGGTTGGGAAAAATCATCCATGCTGTCGTTCAAAATTATGCCTGTGCTGTTTGATTGAAATCCAGCTCCCCATCTGAAAATATTGAATTAATTTATAGTGTTTTTGATAAATGGTTATTTTTACTAGTCACGTTTAACTAACCTTCAATTTTTAAGCATCAATTTTAATAATACAAGCCATATTAAAGAGGTCCGGGAAACATGCTTATAGGGCTCATTGAAGAAGGAAATTAGATGGTAAGAGTAAATTAGATTGCATAAAGGGCGCATGAATGAAGTACATAAGAGTGGTAACAAAATTAATACATATGATCCAATAAGAATGGAACAAGACAGAGAACAATTCGCCAATATTTTATCCAATCTTCAATAATGAAGAAGGTACCAAAAGACGAAGTCATAAAATATTACGAACTTCGTTGTTCTTAGTTGTAAGGTGTATCTTAGTTGTTCCTGTAATATCTCACAAATATGTAGATTACTCTGCATTATAGCCCAAGTAGTGGGTTTTAAAGCCTACTCCGTTTTATAAAGGGTGTGCCCCAGTCATTGGAACAGCAAATTTTTGGTTAATATTTATTTAAAGACATAAAATCATAAAAGTACGTTGGATAAGTTTTAATTTAAACTTTATAAGTTTAATTTTGATCAATTCTTATTGAATAATTACCGCTTATTGTTGAAAAACGGTATTTTATGAAAATGACCACGTCCGTTCTAAAAATGCTTTTATAATAATTTTTAATACATAGGATTGAAGCTCTTTCAATGCTTAACAAAATAATATTTTGTAAAACTGGATAAATTCAATGGTTGCTAAGAAATGATAATTAGTTTATCTTAAGATGAAAAAACTAAAGTCTAAAGTGACAAAAACATTTTTTTTAGGGTTTGTCTTAAATTAGTGATAAAATATGCCGTTAAAAAGAAAATCCGCATTGGATTAGGCATCTGCAGTTTATTTTCAAAAAGGTATAGGTAGCCTTTTAGTTTTTTCGCCTTGGGATAAACTAATTATCATATCTTAGCAACAAATGGACCGATCTTGACTATTACTTTCTTTGATAATTTCTACACTAATTCTTTGGTTACGGGATAGCAACATGGCTCTATTTTCATCTATTTTCACTGAAAATTATTAGTCTAATTCCTGTTGATGTTTGCCTTTCAGTAGGATCGTCTTTGCCAAGTAAGACGCTAAGATATTATTCTAATTATGTACTTATCACGACAAATAGTTATACACAAATACTTACATAAAATTAATTGTACTAGTCACAGCTACAGCATCTCCTTGAGGAGATAAAACGGAAATATGTGAAGTGCCGTGATCTTCCTGAAAATTTGTAGACGCTCCATAATAGAAGGGATCTTGTGAGGTCTCGTTATCTTTAATTAATTTTCTTGTAGCTTCAGTAATATTTGCTGACGTCATGTTTTTTAGTATCTGTAGAGAAAAAAATGTTTAAATAAAAAAGTTTTTTTTGTTGTTTTTTTAGAACCTCCTACACATACAAAAGAAATATCCATTCAAACGATCAACTTTTTCATTCACACCTTACATTAAATTTTTTGTAGAAATACCATAATCAATTTAAAAATGTTTGTATTATCTTCACTTAATAGTACATTTAAGTGTAATGGCATCCTTAAACATATTTTCAGCAATTCTTGAAGCAGCCACGTACTTGTATTGACATGTAAGGGACAGCTAAAGAATATGTGATTTAGATCAGCTATACTAGTTCCACACTCAAATTTGTCTGTTGGGAGAGATCCGATTTTATGTAGATGCTTCGAAAAACATCCATGATCTACTTTTAATCTTAGAATGGTCGACTTATTGCAACAACTTTGTTAAATTTGCAGCCACTGTTGTTTGTAATTTAAACAAATTAGTGCCTGTAGTTTCACCGAACTGAATCCAATGTCTATCCCATTTGAATTTAATATGCTGTTTGACATATGCAAGGAGATCACATGTGTTAAACTCTTCAATCGATATATGTGGTTGCTTTAGCGGATAAAAAGTTAAGTTTAATAAAGCAAACTAGGAATAAGGCAGGTTATGCCAGTCGAGTCTGGAAAAAATAATAAGTCAGCAATAAAATAACTTTTAACAATGACATAAATAAAAATCCTGTAGAAAACTAACAATTAAAGACTAAAATGGCGCAGTGAGGACTCACGAAAAACGGTGAGCATAGTATTGAGAAAGGAAGAGAAAACCGTCTTATTATTTTCCCTTAGCATTGCTCATAACTCATAATTGCATTGACATCTTATAAGAAAAGGTCTACTGATAACGGTTTTCAAGTTCAAGGTTCGCAAGTACTTAGTCAGAGAAAACCCCGTGACTCCAAAAAAGAGTAAAAGTTGGTATAAGAATATATTATTGTATTTTATTTATTGATAATTTCAACTTATCAGTCGCTTCTTCACTAGACAACGGCTGTATCATCCGCGGAGGTGGCAATAGTGTTTTGTTCTAGCTCTGGAATGTCACATATATACAATAGGTACAGGATAGGACCTAATACACTCCCTTGTGGAACGCCAGCTTTGATCTCCCTTAAATCGGTGTTCACTTCTGCTTGTTTTACTCTGAAATATTTGTTCGCAATGTATGACTCTAAGATTTCTGAATACTGTCTAGGCATGAACATTCTTAGTTTATAGTTTAAACCCACATGCCAGACTTTATCAAACGACTTTGCTATGTCCAAGAAGATTGTAGAGCAGACTCTCTTTTCTTCTAATGTTTTTTCTATTACATTCGTTATTCTGTGAACTTGATCTATGGTGGAATGTTATGTTTATTTATGAAACCAAATTGATGATTTGGTATAAGATGTTTTCTTTCTATTATTTGTTTTAATATTTTCAACAGAAGTTTTTCAAATAGTTTTGACATTCAAAGTGATATTGGTCGATAGGATGTCACTTCATTAGGAGGTTTACCTGGTTTGGCGATCATAATGACTTTAGCTACTTTCCAGAGTCAGGGAACATATCTCAATCTAAAATCAGCATTTGTTACGTGTATCAGCTTAACAATGGATTTTCTTGGTAGCTTTTTTAATAGTTTTCCTGAGATCATATCCTGAAGATTTTTTAGGTTTATATTGTCTTTTATCTCTGTTGATACTTCTCTGAATGATGTCATCGTTATTCTTTCTTTAGTTTGGAATGGTTCTTCCCATCTTAGTTCCTCACCATCATTGTCGTTAGGTTTAAACGTGCTTTCTAAATGATCTGCAAATCGTTCTGCTTTTTGTTCGTTTCTTCTAGCCCAGTTGCCGTTTTCCAACTTGTTTTTTTTAAATCACATATTTGACAGAGCTATCTTGATGTAGTTAAGCTTAAAGCCAATGGACATCAACATTTCTTACCTATTTACAAAATTGACTAATATGTGCCAACAATTAATAATTTTAAAGAAATTAATATTAAAGTTAAAAAATCGTTAATCATTTTTTACACTTTTAGGTATAAATTAACTTTTTTTTAATCCATTCGCTCTAATTATTTAACAAGCCTTAATAAATCAACATAGAAAGTTACAAACTTTAACATTTTGTCATTTGTAAGTTTTATCCCTATTATTGCATGCGTTTGAAAATGACAAACTTACTGGTGTAAAATCAAAGAAATCTGGATCCGCAAACTTTGTTCGTTTGGCATAGGCAAATTTAAAACTCTCAACTATCCTCTGATTTGTTATTACTGAATCAGGTTTGGTAACATCTATATATCCGCTTAATAAATCTAAAATGTAGTTTAAGATGTTTCCACTTGCTGGCAACGGTGAGGATATGACGGTATGGTTTCTGAAGACTGTGCTTATAACTGGCTTTTTCCACAGGGGCCTGTAACAAAAATACATTTGATTGATTAAATAGACAAATTACATAATTGCTATTTTTGGACTGTATAGTTTTATAATCTACTCTTTAGAGCCATTACTAAGCATATGAGGCCATTATTTGCAAACTCATTAATCAACAAAAGTTTAGAAAATTATTTTTTTTATGTTTATTTCAATTTTAAATAGGAATCGTATGATATAATCAGAATTTCCCAAAACTCGATCTTTAGCATACAAATGCTGTTGAGAAAATTACATTATTTGCAGAACTCGCTCTTTGCTTTAAATTTTTACATGCAAAACTCGCTGTTTGCTCTACCACCAATGAAATTTACCGGTTGGCTCACATGACGAACTACTACAACCATACTACAACAACTGTATTGAAGATACACATTTTGAGTTTTGGCGAAGTAGGAACAGTTTTTTTATTTTTATGGAGTTAGTAAGTGAAAATGGTTGTTTTGTTAAACCTAGTTCACAGGGAAAAGGACGCAAAAAGTTCTTCAGTTAGAAACACATAAAAGAAAGGTGGATAAACTTGCTAGTAAGTGCTTCATATTATAATTTATGATTTTAGACTTCTGCGACAATCGTTTAATTTTTTATGCAGTTTCACTTGTTTTTTCGCGTTTTAACGTTGGGTAGTACTACAGAAAAGTTTATGAAAAGAGTTGTATTATTACAGAAATACACCAAAAGCACTGCAGGCCTTTCCAACTTGTAGTCATAACGGACGACCCAGATTGCCTTATTATTGTACCACACTCACGATGAATTAAGTGATATATTTTCATGCCTACCTTTATCAATCAAAAGATAAAAGTAAACAATACCTTCTGATATTGGCTTGTTGTAAGGGACAGAAACCAAAAAAGGGAAATCTAATCATGCTACAGTCGATAAAATACCATGTAGGTTTAAGTGAAAGTAAGATGATTAGAGTATGTGCCAAGGCGTTTCTAGGAATCACAAATTTAAGCAAGGATCACATACAAAGAACTGTAAGAAATTTTGTTATAACTGGGAAGCTACTCAGGGAACGTAGAGGTGGTAATGAGTGGGTCCAAAACATGATAAAAAAAGTAACTGCATCAAAAAATTGATAGAATCCATAACATGTACAGAGTCTCATTACATCAGAAGCAAGACAAGCTTGAGGGTCTACTTGCCATCTAACTTACACGTGTAAGTGTATCGTGCCTATAACCCTTTCACTACCCATCCAGGAAGTGTGTCTGTTATAATAAGCCAAGTTTAAATTTCTAGGCTGCTCAGGTGTCATAAAAATATAATATTATAACAAACTACATAGATAAAAATATAATAAATAACTACATTAATTTATTCATTTTTGATGTAATATATTATTATATTATATTACATTTATTAGTGCACGTGTCTTTATTTTATATTCGGTTTTATTTATATTTTATAACAAAACAATATATTAATAGGGGAAAGTCGATTAAATAAACTCAGTTTTAGAAATGCATGTCGAACCGTATAAATATGTTAACCGTAACGGGCTGCAAGCGGCTCGCGGGCTGCGTGTTTCCTACCCTAAACTAATAAACTAAAGTTCCCATAAATACTGGATAAGAATTTATTTACTTACCTGTAATTATTCATATCTTCGATAGTTATTATTCCTCCCTTATCTGCAATATCTTTTACAAATGCTGCTGTAAGTGAACCGTTATGTAAAGCATCACCCCCTTCATTAGCGATTATTTCCAAAGTTTTTGCCATTCTTGGTCTTTTGAAGTATTGTCCTATTTTATATGTATCATTAGTCTTCTTGTCAAAGAACGTGTCCCTGTGAACATTTTTATTAATGATATTATGAATTCATGATAGTTAAAAGACTATCATGCAAATTTTTAAAAGAGACAGAAAACGAATACGAACCAGGAGTCAGTTAAATACTAGTAGCCAACAGTAAAAATGAAAAGCACATCACTTTGACAGCTTAAATCTGTGTTAAAAGTTGAAACATTAAAAAGCAGCTGGGCTTGGGCCTGCAATAGGAAATGTTCCTATTCAATTGATGAAATATGCCCCAGATATATTAGGAGAGTAGATTGGTGAGATGCAGTTAGAGTTCCGAAATGGAATGGCTTCTCGAGAATAACTATTTCCCATCAACTTAATTATTCAGCGATGTCGTGACGTACACGTTGTCCTACTGAATACTGAATCTATATTGTTGCCAAAGTAGTAAAAAGAAATCCACAAAGAGAGAAATAAAGGATATTAGAGTATCCACCTTATAGTCTTGGTTTAAAGCCTTGCGATTTAAATTGAAAAAAAAACAAAACGTATCTTAATAAAATAATATTTTTAACTGAAGAAGAAAATGTTTTTAAGGAGTACATATTAAAAATCCGAACGTCGGAAAAACTATAACATAAAAGATCTCGTTTTAATTCCTATCAGTCGAGAACATATCGAAGTATTTTTATAAAAAAAGTAACAATCTTGAGATTGATACAGCTTGAATAAAATGCATACTTTAAGTAAAACCTAAAGTAAAAAAAAAACTTTAAGCAATAACTAAAAGTGGATACTGAATGGGAGAAAAACAACTTTAAAAAACCTGCTATGCAGACGACGCAATACTACTCCCTCAAAGTGAAGACGATTTACAACGTATGCTGAACGAATTTAATATAACCGCCAGAAAATTTAACATGTTAATTTTCCAAAAAAAAAAGATAAAATGCATGATTACAACAGCAAATTTACTAAAATGTAAATTGTATCTGGAAGGTCAGATAATAGAACAAGTGATGAGTTTCAATATCTAGGCATCACATTATCTAGCTACGGAAAACTTGAAACTGAAGAGAAAAATCAAGTGAATAGAGCAAACAGAGACCCAGGCTGCCTGAATGAAACAATATGGAGAAATAAAAATATCAGGAAAGAAGATGAAAGGCAGAATTTACAAAACAGTCGTCAGACCAATAATGACTTACGCGGCAGAAACACAACCTGATACAGAGAGGACAAAACGGATGTTAGAAACAGCATAGATGAAAAACACTTAGAAAAACTGATGGCAAGATACCATGGGAGAGAGCTAGAAGTACAAATATACGACGTAGATCAGGACGTAAAGTGGAGAACATCAAAAATTGGTTAAGAAATAGAAGAGTAAAATAGAACGATCATATAAGCCCAATGACAACAAACAGAGTAGTAAAGACGGCATGAGACAGTTCCCTAATAGGAAGACGATCAGTAGGAAGGCCACAAAAACGATTGAACGACAACTTACTTGAGGCACATTGAAAAACAGACAGTCATATCTACAAAAGAGAAGAAGAAGAAGTAAAACCAGTGATCACTATTGGCTATTGAAATGTATCATTTACGCTGTTACCTATCTTGTATGCCTAAAAGTAGTATACTAAACTGCCATACTTCTTAACTCGCATAGTAAAAGGGAAATTAAATACTTGATCCTATAAATTCAATTCCTAATACTTCAATGAAAACTGTAGAAGCAAAATATTTTAAGAATGTTCTTACCTCATCACAAGATCGTTCCATAGTAATTGTTTTCTCATAATAAATCTAGAATGTAAATGTTTGGTTACATATTGTCCATTTTTGCATATGTCGATTGTTGGCTGGATTAAATCTTTCCATGGTAGACCACCACCAAATCTTTTGTATAGTTCCCAATATCCTCTAAGTTCACCAGGTACAGCTACTGATTTACCCCCTATAAAACCATTAATATTGTTATAGAGAAAAATAATTGAATACGTATCGAGAATATAAATGGGTTTAGCTTAAAACTTCAAATATAGTATGAAAATATTTATATAGGTACCCAAATTACCGATAATGCCTTACTGCCTGGAATGGGTATCATGAAAGAATAGAATATGAACAATGAGCCAACTAGCTGCAGTATGGTGTACAATTCGGTAATACCTATAAGACTGTAAAAATAAACTGACCGGAATTTCCAAAAATAAAAATTCATTGGAAGTTTGGTGCACTGTTTCATTGTATACTCAACATCTTTTATTTTTAGAACAAAAAATGGACATAACTGCTTGATTCCTTAGGATCATTTATTTATTTAAAAGGCGACAAAATAAATGAGTGTAATATCGAAACGAATTACGAATTCGAAACGAAAAAGGAAGAAATTTTTAATAAAAACATGAAGAATACATTCATATTATTCACGAAGCATGATTTGAAGTTCTGCAAGACTTTCTGGCTGGCCTGGTTGACTTCTAACCCTACGATGGAGTTCATTCCAAAGATGTTCGATTATATTCAGATCAGGGTTGCAGGCTAGAGTGGTAATTCCTACTTCCAAAAGTAATTTGTCATGATTCTTGCAGTATGCGGCCGAACATTATCAAGCATAAAGACGAAATTGTCCTTAATAAATGTACCAAATGGAACTACTGCTTCTGTCAAACAAACTCTATATACTAGTGAGCATTCAGGGGGCCATTAATAAAAATAAGTTCAGTTCGAGCTTCAAATAAGATTCCAGCCCAAGCCATGACAGAACCATCGCCAAACTGTCTCCTCTGGGACATATAAGCTTGGATATATTTTTCATTTCTTTATCTTCAAACCATCTCACGGCCATCGCCAGATTTGGAACAGAATCACGTGTCATCATTACGAAGATATCGGCTCCAATCCTGTATATCCTAGTGCTAATGTTGTCGAGCAAAAATTAATCGATTCCGTTTCTGGGTTGTAATTCGGGAACAACAGCCGGCCTTCTTGACATTAGTCCTCTTTTATTAAAGCGTCTTCTAACCGTTCTCTCACTTACATTCACATTTCGAACCTCCTGAAGATGGTTTCTTGCAGAAATTGCAGTGGAATGAAGGTTCATCAAAATAAAACGATCGTCTCTTTGCGAAGTAACTCTTCTACGACCGGAACCAGATTGACGTGAGTATGTACCAGTCTTTATAAAGCGATGGAAAGCTGTGCGTACTGTAGTTCTCGGAATACCTAAAGTTTCGGTTACATAAACGTATCTTCTTCCGTAGCAATGCAATAATTCCAGCAACAACTACCGTAGATAACACCATATCTTAATTATTCACAAGTTTGAAAAGATAGGTACTATTTAATTAAATGTTTTCAACTTAGAAGAAAACCAGCGACTACAGCAAACAATAACATAAACGTCAAAACTATCAAAAAATCATATATGGTCACAATAAATATTTAAATTAAGACGCAATATGAAACAGTGCATAAAACTTATAATGAATTTTTATTTTCGGAAATTTATAGGATGGCCACTTTTTTGCTGGTCAGTGTATATACATTTTCAACAACATTGAAATTGGGCAACTCTTTTTTAGCAGCAAAATTTACTATGTATTGAAAATAGCTATAATCAAATGAATTCAACATAAACATTTTTTATTTAACTTTACGTGTCTCGACAACTAATGGTCATTGACACGGGAACTAAAAACAATGTTTACAATATTAGCTAAAATTTTACTAATATATATATATATATATATAATATATATATATATAGTTATATATTTATATATATATATATATATATATATATATATATATAAATATATATATATATATATATATATATATAATCCAACATTAAAAACCTAGAAGCATTCGAAATGTGGGTGGTGTTACCGACGTATTTTGAAAATATCATGGATGGATCGCAAAACAAACGAAACAAGTTCTCGAACAAACTAGGAAAACAATGCGAAGTTTTAAATTCCATAAAAATCAGGAAATTGGAATACTTGGGGCACATAATGAGAGGTGAAAAGTACGAACTACTAAGAAATATAAATGCAGGGTAAAATCAAAAGTAGAAGAAGCGTAGGAAGACGTAAAAATCTCGTGGCTACGCAATCTCCGTGAATGGTTTGGATGCAGTTCAATTGAACTATTCAGGCGAGTAACCAATAAAATTATAATTGCCAGAATGATTTCCAATCTCCGATAGGAGTGGAACTTGAAGAAGAAGAAGAAGATATATGAAATTTTTTTAAATATCTTATATCAAACTATATAAGTTACAGAATCTCAAAAAAGTAATTATTGAGTAGATTATACCAGGTGAATTAGTAGAAGTATATCACTAACGGTACCATTAATATTATGATGTCGTCGAATGGAACTGAAAGTACTGCATTTAGATAGGACATGCTGTGTGGAAAAGTGTGTGTTGTTACAGCGTTTACAAATTGGTGGATTTCCAGAACTCATGAGGTAATTATGAGTGAGTCGAGAGTGACTTTTTCTAATTATTCTGATTCTTTTTTGTGGGGGGATATATGGTGATCGTATTTTTGGTTGTACTTGGTATAATTTGGATGTACTTTTACTCAATTGATTTTGCCAGTTTTTCAATACCGATGCTTAAAGAGATATTTTGGGTTTTGATGGAGCTGAATTCTTTCGACTGGAAAATTGGGACAGTCAGCTTTTTTCACTGATTGATCAGTTTTTTCATTACTAGTGACACCTACATGCGAAGAAACCCAAATTCTGGAGACTGAGATGTCCGAAGTTAATGGCTGATGATAGTGATTGTATACCTTATTGACTATTGGTTGTTGTGAGCTTAAGGTTCTTAGTGAGTGAATAGATGACAGTGAGCTGGTGGATATGGCTATACGTTTACTGCTTTTAGGTCTGTTGCAGTAACTGTGCAGCTTATTGTGAATATTGTGTCAAACTTTCCATATCTACCATTTTATTGAATTGTTGTCTAACTAAAAGGGTGGGAGGTTCCTTTTTGTCCTAGTTCCATATACTAATGTTAAAAGTAAGCAGCTTTCTGGCCCAAGGCGGGGTATCTTCTTCTTCTTCCTCTTTATAAGCCATTCTGCCTGTATATTGGAGGATTAATACCTCTATAGAAGGTCGTCACTCCAACTTTTGCGCGGTCGTTCGATGCTTATTTTGCCGATTGGTGTATTGTTTCTGAGGCATATGTCATTAGTAGTCTTACACTGGCTTTATAAATTCTTGACTTGATCTCAGTGTTAATGTGTCTGTTTCGCCATATAGTGTTATTAAGGCATCCTGTCAGTTTATTTGCTTTTTGTACTTAATCTCTCACTTCTTTGTTCAAGTCTCCATAGCTAGACAGTGTGATGCCTAGGTATTTTATTTTCATTACTTGTTCAATACTAATGCTATCAATTTCTATTTTACATCTGGTTAGTTATTTGCTGTCTACTATTGTTTTAGTTTTTTATGAAATTGTCATATTAAATTTTTTTGCTCTTATGTTAAATCTGATTACCAGTCTTTACAGACTATCTTCATCTTGGGCTATCAATATTGTGTTGTCTGCGTAACAGAGTATTTTGATTTCTTTGTTTCCCATTATGTATCCTTTTCCTTTGTTAACGGTTTTAATGATTTCATCCATGATCAAATTAAAGAGCATGGGGATAATTAATCCTCTTGTCTTATTCCGCTGCCTATTTCTACAGGTTCTGTAAGTTGTCCATCTATTCTGACTTCCATTTTGTTGTTTTGGTAGATGTTTTTACTATCAATTGGGCATACCGATCTAGGTTTTCTATGGGCACTAGTTGTGTGTGTCTGGCCACAAGATTGGCAGCTGGATTTGAGAGATTAGCAGACACCTTTGCAAAGTAATTAAAAGAAGTCTTTGTTTACTAATGTTCAGGAGAGGTTCGCAGGCTTCGATATAAAAGCTTTGAGAAGGGCTAGATCTAAAGACACCGAGACAAATTAGAAGATATGTGTTTTGAATGGCGTTAAGAGAATTTAGGGGAGAGTTGTAGGCGGACATATAGAATATACTACCAAAAGGTCAGATTCAAAGAAATACTTCCTCCGTCAGTGCTCCAGTGATAGTGAGCAAGTAATTTAATTATGTTAATTATTTTTAAACAGTTAGCCTTACTTTCTTGTATATGATTTCTCCAGGACAGTCTTTTATCAAACTTTATACTTAAGACTTTCTGGTTATCTACCACACGAAGAAAAGTTCCATGTATCTGTAAATTTTGGTTGGGGATACCTGCATTTTATACTAAATTAGATAACGGCTAATTTAGTTGGTGAAAATTTGAGTCCTCCTTTGGCTGACTAATTATTGATACTCTTTAGGATGTTTTGAAGTAAGGCACATGTGTTAGTTGTGCTCCTACCTTGACAAAATAGTAAGAGATCATGCTGTGGGCTCAGAACCTTGTGGAACCATTTATGGAAAAAAAAAATTTTGTTTAAAATCCTTTATAAAAGGTATATATAAATGTATATATATATACCTTTTATAAAGGATTTTAAACAAAATTTTTTTGTGATATATGGTATACAGCCAGCTACAGGAACTTAGTTTCCTCGTGGAATTTATGAAAACTTGGAACGTTTTATCTGTTAAAAAGTTATTAATGGAAGTCGATATGTTACCTTCTAATTAGAGGTCATCGATTCTTTTTATTCTTGACTTATATTGTATTAAAAGTGCTGTTTGGTTAGGAGATCCTAAAGATTATATAACTGTCAGTATTTGTTATTTTATTTAGAGGTATCCGGGAAGCACTTGTAGTATTTGTACTATGGACGAGTACCAGATTTACATAAAAAAATAAAAACGACAACAAAGATTCTCGAGGCTTTCAATTTAAAGCATACATGGTTTTTACACTAGACTGCTTAGCACAATAACAATATGTCCTGTATTACATACAAGCTGGTAGGGTTTGATCTTCTACGGAAAACATGGTTCACCCTAAATAGGATCCGAATCAGACATAGAAAATGTGCTTAAATGCTACATAAATGGGTAAAACGACTGTAGAGAAAACCAAATTATCGAATACATATTTGAACAGTGTCCCAAGAGTAATGGTAGCGAGGACTTCCTTTTTGCAACTTCGGAGTCAATAAAATATATTAATTTACGTAATGTTTTTTTTTGTAACTGTTTAATGATTTACATATACCTGTATTATTATTGCTAAATTGTAATATGTGTGGATAGTCTTGGAATTTCCATGCGATAAATAAAAATCTTGTCATATGCTTGTTATTTAAAAACTATTACGCTTTTTAAAAGAAATATAAACAAAATGATTTTACCTCTTAGTGAAGCGTTCGACGGTTGACCCAAATACATGTCTTCTCTTGAAGCAGTAGGGGCTGTTTCTCTGGCATCCAATGCCCAGGTTTCTCCTGTTGTTTTATTATATAGTACCAGGAAAAATCCACCACCCAAACCCATACTTTCCGACATCATCACACCTTCACAAAATAGTGTTGCTATGGTCGAGTCAACGGCATTTCCACCTTTTTTCAATATGGATCTAAAATCAACAAAATGCTTTAATAACGTACAAAGGTATTTACAAGGAATATAATTAAATATAAAAGAACATATTCTACTACAGAAATACTGTGACTAATGGACACAGTTCGAAATCAAATTTCCCTCTATATACACACTACTATAAAAATATAAATAATAATCATCTCACAAAAGAATGACAATTATTTTCTAGTATTTTATAAAATATATTGAACTATTTTTCATATTTCATACGTCACTAGATATTCAACAAAGCGATAGCAGCTTTTGCTAAAAGATTGGGCTAAAAGAGGATGGGATACTTGGGCGTGGGAAAGTTTTTCGGACTGTGAGAAAAAGCGGCATCGTTTGATGGAGGTGTGCAGTTGTGTCACGTGGCAGGTGTGACAGGTGAGCATGGGAAATTTCTTATCGGCGGCATCCTTCGATGTTTACCGCTGTTACCGGAAAGATGCGAGGTGCCTCTGAAAAGGATTTTAGCGAATAGGATGAAACCATATAGAAAAATAAGCATGCATTACATCATAAAGCAGAAATATTAGGGATGAGATAAGCAACATTATTAGGGATTGGGGATAAGCAATATTAGGAATGGGGATAACCAACATTGTTAGGGATAGGGATAAGTAGGGATGGATTACACATTTTACACATTTTGTATAGCCCAGAGGACAGAAAACGATATTATTAAATCGTTTTCGTTGATGGCCACCAAAGGAGGTGGCACCTCTGTATGCTAACCACTGCAGTGATTTAGGAGATATTCTTTTGAAATTTCGAATTTGAATTTGGATCAGTAAAGTGTCCGATGAAGCAGGGATGCTGAAATAAGTTATAACACCCTATTGATACCGATTCGAGCACGAGAAGTTTAACGAATTTGTCCTCCTAGGCCATATATTTGGCCATTCAATTCAACAAAGCAATAGCAGCTTTTGTTAACAGATTGGCTTTTTTCAATTTTTTATGGCATCTCAGATAATTCTTGGTTTATAGAAAAGGATGGGGGCTATGGTTCTGGAGTTTTCAAAATCAATTTTGGGACTTGTATGAAAGTGGTGTTGACCTGTAACTGAAATTAAATCGGAATTGCGAACAGAAATGGAATGTTCATAAATCCTATTTTGGATTGTGTGACTTGTTTCACCTATATATAATCGGAGTAGTTTGCACAAGGAATTTCATAGACCCTGTGTTGTTCATTTGGAAGATAAGGGTATTAATGACTGAATTAATTTGTGAAGGTGGATGATGAGAGTTGGCATGCAAGTAACGATTGGTATGCGTGGGATTTCGATAAACAGAAAGATGAAAATCTTGGGGTTGGATTTTCTTTATGATAACGTCGAGAAACGATATGAATGAATCAGTTTACACCTCTATTGTGAACTAGACATTATGGTGTATACCATTCAGATGGGTCTGAAAAGACACCAAACTCCAGTCCCCTGCTATCTACTAGTATTAGTATTCATATCGGTATTAAACATTTTATTCTTTATACAATTATTACTAGTGTTTCAATCATGTCAAATCTAATATATTATTTGCGATTATTAAGTTGAATATATATAAGGTTAACATTTACTACTAGATACATTTTACAAAAGTCTTAAGGTTATAAGCAAATATGTAACGTATTAAAGAAATTCTACTTACACCCCAATTTCTGCACATCCATGGCCACTGCTACCCACTGCTCCAACCCGTTTTCCTTCATTCCTCTTGTTTATCACCAATACTACTACAACTATGACGATAACTATAACAGTGACGATCGCAGCACCTATTGTTAATCTTTTTGTTGAAGTTTTCCTGTAAGTAAAAGTAACCATAATTGAAAAGACTGTCACTGAAGTAGAAGAAAACTTAAGTTGTGTTGTGCGAAATATCGCGCAGAAACTAACCTGGCAATGGAAAACCAGGTAAATGTATTGTTTTAGGCCAGTATAATAATGGAGCTTTTGATAGAAATGTTGTAGTTTTGCAATATAAAAGTGTATATAACTACAAAAATATAGATTCATTTAAATACAGAGAAGAGTAGAGAAAACCAATAGAAAATGTAAAACGGTGCTGAATAATATTCTTCTTTTACTATTAGTTCGATGACCGTTATCGATCTCTGGATATTTTATACTATATTCGAATGCAAAACTTTATATTTTTCAGAGTGTCTTATAATGTCACCAAGGTATTCCAGCATGCATCTCTTTATTATATTGTTACTTGGTTCGGCCGTCTAGTGCCCCCCTCATTTCTAACTCTGTCGACCCTGCTTATCTTTAGTATATATTGTGGCTAAACACCCCGTACGGGGTTACGCCGCTTAAGCTCTCTAGATCTATTTTACGAGGTAGATCAGTCCTCATTTTCTTTATTTAATTTTTCTTGTTATTTTTCTCCACTGTTTCCTATCTCTGGTTTTTTCTCTCCATTGTCGTACGCCCGCCCTGTTGAGATCGTTTGTTACTTCTTGTAGCCATGTAGATCTTGGTCTTCCACGTCTTCGTTTACCAGCTGGTGTCCATTCCAATATTGAGAATATTGTCGTAGATGGTCCTGATCTCCATATATGTCCTAGCCATTTTGCCCTTTGCTGTTTTATTTTACAAACTATATCCTCTTTAATTTCGTTTAGTAGTTCATGATTCGTTCTTTGTCTATATTGGTTTTCATTAATTTTTATTGGTCCTAATATTGCTCTTAGTATTTTCCTTTCTAGTATTCTAAGGTCTTCCTCTTGTTTTTTTGTCATGCTAAGGGTTTCGGCAGCATACATCATAGTCGGTCGAATTATTGTTTTATATATTTTCATTTTCGATTTTTTGCTCAGTAATTTATTTTTTAGAAGCTTTTTATTTGCATAGTATGTCTTATTTGCTGTAATTATCCTTTCTTTAATTTCTGTTTCCCTTTCTCCATTGTTTGCTAATAATATTCCCAAATACTTAAACTTTTCTACTTCTTCAAATATATATTCTCCCAGTCTAACCTTTTTGTTTTCATATTTTTTGTCAAATCTCATTATTTTTGTTTTTTCTTGATTTATTACTAATCCCATTACTTTCCCTTCTGCTACCAATTCTTTTAACATACTTTCCATTTTTTTTCTGTTCTTTGTTATTATCACAATATCGTCGGCATATGCTATTATTTGTCCCTCTCTCGTTCTAAGTGTACCTTTGTTGATTTTTCTGACTATATATTCCAGGGCAAGATTAAACAGAGTTGCAGATAATGAATCTCCTTGACGTACACCTTTATTTATAACAAATTCTTCTGTGTCTCCTTCTTGTGTTTTTACAGTTCCTACGGTTTTGCTCATTGTCATTTTTATTAATCGTCTTAATTTGTTGTGTATTCTCATTTCTCTCATAGCTGTAAGTAATTTCGCTCTGTTTATTGAATCAAATGCTTGTTGGAAGTCTATAAAAAGCAGTTCAATTTCTATTTTATATCCATAAGCTTTCTCCATAATTTGCTTTACCGTATGTATGGCATCTGTTGTTGACTTTCCCCTAATAAATCCGCATTGATACTGTCCCATGATATTTGTTGTCGCTTTGGCCAGTCTTCGTTGTATTAAGGTTGACATGATTTTATACGCTGTGTTTAATAATGTCAGTCCTCTATAATTATTACACATTTGTTGGTCTCCTTTTTTATGGATTGTGATAATTTGTCCTTTGTGCCATTCTTCTGGCATCTTTTCTTCGTCCCATATGACTTTTATTAATTGGTATATTTTTTCTCTGAGTTCATGTCCACCATATTTTATTAGTTCCATGTTTATACCGTCTATACCTGGTGCTTTACCGTTGCGACTACTGTTTATAATTTCCTCAACTTCATCTCTCGTTGGTTTTTCTAGCTCGGTTTCTATCATCGTGGTCTCTTCTTCCACATTTTCATTTAAGTCTTCGTCCTCTTGTACTGTTAATAATTCTTTAAAATAATCAGTCCAGATTTCTTTAAACTCTTTGTCATTTTCTGATACTTTTCCATTTCTATCCTTTATGCCTTTTATCTTTCCTTTGAAGGTTTTGTTCTGCTCGCTAATTTTCTTATAAAATGCTTTTGTGTTTCTATTTGTGTTTTCTTTTTCTATTTCATTTATCTTATCATTTAACCAGGTTCGTTTAATTTTTCTTATTTGTTTCTTACATTCTGTCCTTAATTTGTTGTATTCTTCTTTATATTCTTGTCTATTTGTTCTGATCCACCTTTGTCTTATTTCTATCTTCTTTTTTAACATGTTATGACAGTCTTGATTATACCATTCTTCTTTTTTGTTCTTTCTCTCTATCCCTACATGTTCAGAAGCTGTTTCATTTATACATTTTTTTATATTGCTCCATTCTGTTTCAACATCCTCTGTATGTTCACAGTATTCCTTCAGTTTTTTGCTTATATCTTCTGCATATTTAATTCTTCTATCTGTAGCATTTAATTTTTCTATGTACCATTTGTCCTTTGTTGTCTTGTTTTTTAGCGTTCTTTTGACTTTTTGTCTTAACGTTGCGGTAACCATGAAATGGTCTGTGTCTGCATGTGCACCTCTGTATGTTCTCACGTCTGTTATCGATGTTTGCTTTCTCTTTGTGATGAGTATATGGTCTATTTGGGACCATGTTTTTTGGTCTGGTGAGACCCATGTTACTTTGTGGTATACAGGGTGTGCAAATTTTGTACTACTGACAATCATAGTGGTGCTAGTTGCTAAGTTGCATAATCTTTGACCATTATCATTTGTTTTTTCATGTAATGTATATTTACCTGCAACTTGGTTAATGTAGTCTTCTTTGCCTATCTGAGCGTTAAAATCTCCCATTACCAGAATTGTGTCTTCTTTGGGTAACGATTCAATTTCTTGTTCCAGTTTCTCATAGATGTTATCTTTTACCTCTGCTACAGCACTTTCAGTTGGTGCATATACGTTTATGATGGATATATTAAATGGTTTGGCGTTAATTCTCAGGTATGCCATGCGCTCATTTATTGGTTTAAATTGCATAATATTATTTTGTATTTTTCCTGTAGTTATAAATGCAACTCCATATTGACCTTGTTTTTCGTGCCCAGAGTAGTGTAATGTGTAATCTTTAGTAGTCGTTTGTATATAAACATCTCAAAGCCTTCCATGCGTTTTAGCATGCCTCCATACTAAGATCGTGGCTGAAAAGTACATTTCTCATTTTTACAAATGTATTTCGGGCTCGTTTTATGCGGCTTTTAATGTCTACGATTGAATCCCCGAAGGGAACTAATGGTAAAAGCCGACTGATTCTTCTGATATTTCAGTTCCTTAAAAAAATCAGTTATTTTTTTTCTGAATTTTTATTTTTAATTATTTTTTATGTGCAAAGTCACACCACTTCTTAATAATCATTACATCGATGGCAGTTGCTTCTTTTTGCTGTTCGCTGTAGGTAGCTGTCATGTTGCAAAGCTGCTTTGCCTTCAGCTTGGCTTATTTTATTTTCATCATTTTCCTCTTCACTCTCAGCAGCATCTGCGTCGTTATCTTTCTTATTTTCCTGGCGAATGACACACTAGGCGATTTCATCGTCGTTCACAACCTCGTTGTGTAGCTAGTTTTCAAAGTTGATCCACCCCAAAACATTTTCTTCAACAATGGGAGCACAGTTCGGTAATTGCTGAAGGTCGTGCAGTGGAGCTTCATTTTCATAAGGCTCCTTAACAATAATATTGTTTTCTCATCTCCTGTTGGATTTGCTTGGTAAATCTTGTTTTCTATATTTGGCCAAAATTTTTTCCATGACTTTACAAACGTTGTCGGTGGTATTTCGTCGTATGCCTTGGCTAGCATGTACACAACATCTTTTATATTAACTGACTTCAGCGCTTTTAGAGGTCTAATTTGTTATCAGCCTTCAGTTTGGAAAGAACTTCAATAAGCAGTTTTTTCTTGAAGCACACAGTGACCCTTTGGTCCATTGGCTGCTAAAGACTGGTTAGATTGGGTGGCAGGAACAGCAGTTTAATTTCTTTTTCACCGTCACACTGAAGACCTTCCATGCTGATTTTTGAAACCGGTAATACACTGGGAAAGTTTACATGTTTATGTTCTTAAACGTTCTCACTTTGCTGCTGTGGCAATGACAAATAGGTATCTTGTGGGTTCTAGAGGCATTTGAACACAAGGCAACCGTTATACTCTCTTTGATGACTTTAAATCCTGCAGCAGATATTTTTTGCGGGGTGGCAAAAGTTTTTCTGCGCAGAAGTTTAACATTTAACCCAGTTTCGTCGATGTTGTGTATTTGCTCTGGGCTTAAGTTTTGGTCACCAGTGATTTTTAAAGATTCTGCAGAAAAATTGGTGGCCGCTGTTGGGTCTGCTGACAGCTTCTCACCACAAAATCCAATAAAATGGTCTCTTTTTCCATTGGGAGAGCCGTCCCTCATTAGCCGAGAATATATCTTTTGGTTGAAGCTTTGAGTGCAAGATCACAGTTTTTTCTTTCAGGATTGGTCCACGTTGGTTATTTCGGATTTTTTTATAACGGTTGTATGCCTGTTGTGTTTGTTGTGTTCTGTATTGTAAAAAAGGATTTCTTCTGTTCATCACATTTTATATTCATTTCCTCTCTAAATCATTGTGTTTTCTTTTTTGATATGTCATTGTTCGTTAACAAATGTATCCCACCGCTGTCACCAGATGTAATACAAGGGGCGACTCCACTGTCACCACTGCAATACTTTATGGATCCTCAAAGGATGCTAACCCTACGAGCGGCTGATAGGCTTACTGGCCCCACTGGTCCGACTGACTGGTTCGTCTTCGTGGATTTACGCGAAGATAAGGGATT